GGAATTGATATGGCACTGTTACAATGTTCTGCAATCTTACAACAATCTAATTTTTTTATATAAATAAAGTTCTACAATGATTTGTAAATATTTATTGCAACAAAATAAATTAGGGGGATTTGACTTTGCACCTCACTTTTTGGGTGGTATTGGACTATGCATCCCATTTTTAAAAAGTTTTGATTTTGCACCCCATTCATGAATTGTTCTTCACAAAATGTTATATGATGGGGTAAATAATCAAAGTTTTTAAAAATACAGTGCAAAGTCTAATATCACCCAAAAAAATGGTGTGCAAAGTCAAATTACACTAATAAATAAACTTGTGCGATGTTGGAAAATAAATAAACTCAATTGAATAATCACACCTGGAGACTTCAGCTGGAGACATTTGATATACTGGTGATCCAAGAATTTTCCCATATTCCTCCGGCAAAGTAAAAAATGAGCCTAAGTAAGACAAACCTTTGAAGGCCGAAGCCAACGAGTAACCTAAAGCTTTTGTGACACGTACAACAACTGCATTTCCCACTTGTATGTACCTTTCTTTAATATGGCCATAAAATTTATAGTAATCAGGGAAACCTTTTAACCTAGCTTTTCCCATGATTGTGAGAACTCAGTGTTGAAGAGGGTGCATGATGGCCTAATTGTGCGGCTCAATCCTTGTTACAAAAGTGTGGACGGTTTTATCCCATCATAATCTTTTAAATGGCTTTGAGGATGTTCCACCCAAAATTGTTATTGCATAGTCAGGTACCAATGGTTTCCCTGAAGGCAAATAGAACAGTGTATCCAAAAACAAAAATATACCCTCACAGACGGCGTGTAGGTATAGAGGGTGTATGGATTTGGGCATGTAGAACAACATTTTTCCCAAATACTTTTACATCATGGATTTGACATGACACTGTTACAATGTTCTGCAATCTTACAACAATCTATTTTTTCGTATAAATAAAGTTCTACAGTTATTTGTAAAGATTTATTGCAACAAAATAAATTAGGGGGATTCGACTTTGCACCTCACTTTTTGGGTGGTATTGGACTATGCATCCCATTTTCAAAAAGTTTTGATATTGCACCCCATCCATGAATTGTTCTTCACAAAATGTTATATGATGGGGTAAATAGTCAAAGTTTTTTAAAAATAGTGAAAAGTCTAATATTACCCGATTGAATAATCTCACCTGGAGACTTCAGCTGGAGACATTTGATCTACTGGTGATCCAAGAATTTTCCCATATTCCTCCGGCAATGTAAAAAATAAGCCTAAGCCAGACAAACCTTTCTTTAAGCTTTTGTGACATATACAACAACTGCATTTCCCACTTGTATGTACCTTTCTTTAATATGGCCATAAAATTTATAGTAATCAGGGAAACCTTTTAACCTAGCTTTTCTCATGATTGTGAGAACTCAGTCTTGAAGAGGGTGCATGATGGCCTAGTTTTGTGGCTTAGTCCTTGTTACAAAAGTGTGGACGGTTTTATCCCATCATAATCTTCCAAATGGCTTTGAGGATGTGCCACCCAAAATTGTTATTGCGTAGTCAGGCACCAATGGTTTCCCTGAAGGCAAATAGACTCTCTCAACATCTAGTATTTCTACCCGTGTCGTGCACGAGATTGAAGATACTTCTAGTTTTTAGTTTTATGATACTTCGTAGAATGTAGAGGAAAATGTTTGACGAAGTCGCTTCCTCTCATTGACATCTAAAGAGCGTGAATGTTGACGGAGTCGCTTTCGCTCCATGACATCTATATATTTTATAGAGTCACTTCAGCTCCACGACACATATCCTGCAACATTAGTCCTTATTGATCGAACTGCTACATCTATACTAAATAAAACACATGTTGTCATTATACAATCAAATGACAAGGTATGTCTACGTGTATATGCATATGTAATATATACCTTCCATTTCTTTATTATCTTCCATTTTATTCACAAGAGAATACCGGCGGATCAGCAACTTCTTCCGATATAATGGCCTTGACGGGAAAAGCATTTGTACTCAAGCTCGAGCTCAAGAACGTCGCCAAAAATAGATTTGAGCCCTCACATTTTTTAACAATGTATTTTATCTATGAACAGACGGCGTGTATGGGTGTGTGTGTGTATGGATTCCGATGTGTAGAACAAGAAATTTCCAAAATAGTTTTTACATTGCGCATTTGATACGGCACCCTTACATTGTTCTTCAATCTGACAACACTCTAATTTTTCATATAAATGAAGTTTTACAATGATTGTAAAGATAATTGCAACAAAATAAATTCACCTGTGCAATGTCGGAAAATAAATAAACTCAATTAAATAATTTCACCTGGAGACTTCAGTCGGAGACATTTGTTCTACTGGTGACTTAACAATTTCCCCATATTCCTCTGACAAAGTAAAAGTTGAGTCTAAGCCAGTAAACTTTCGAAGGCCAAGCCCAATAATGAGTAACCTAAATCTTTCTCGACGCATACAACAATCACATTTTCCACTTATATGTAACCCTCTTTAATAGGGCCATAAAATTTATAGTAATCAAGAAATACTTGTACACCTCTTCAATACAGTACCGGGCCGGGCCGGTTCACGGGGCGGCCGACCCGGTTGCGGTCCATGCCTACTTAATTTGTGGATTTTAAATCAGTAGCGCCTGCTATAAATGCAATTTTAGATATATATCATCATTTGGGTATTAGATTAAATCATTTGTGCAAAGTATGGTGTGATATGATGCATCATGGTTGCCCCTCAAAATGGAGATCAAAAGTGCAAGTTTATCCCAATGTAGGTTGGTATTGAATAAATAACATTACTTCTGTCATATTTTAGTTTTATACAATTATTAACTGTAATGTGATTGAAATATAAAATTGTGATCAAGATTTGAATAAAATACAGTGAAATGATATAACAGCAGGGCAGCAGGCAAGGAAATACGGGGTATGAGATTGGGTTAGATGATGTATACATTAAGCTAACAAGCAATCTACTCGATCGGAAGGAAACATATGAAAGATTGAAAAAAATGTGCATCGAGATGCCAAAGGTCACAAGAGTTAAAACATCCATTTTTGTGATATTGTCATCGTTTACATCCGAGACTCTCATTTTTTATTTAAATGCAATGTGATTGCATGTAAAGTTTAGGACCATAAAGTAATTTGCAGGTAAAATAGAAATACATCGTTTGCAAGTGTATAAACTATTTTAAATTACATGTAAACTCTTTACATAATTTATTGTAAAATAAGTTTACATGTAAAATACTCACCGAACGGTGCCTGAGAGCTTGTAATTAATGTGCACACAACGCATTTTTACACACACACACATTTTTTGTACACACACTTACACACTCGTGTCTGTGAAGTGTTTTTTTTTGTCTGTATGCAGACACAACGCATTTGAAGTGTCTGTGAAATAAGTTGTGTCTGTATACAGACAAAACAAAACACTTCACAGACACGAGTGTGTAAGTGTGTGTACAAAAATGTGTACCTCAAGCCTGGTTGATGTGCAGATAACTAGCTTCAAATTGACGGTTGGCCTGCAACCTTTAATTGTGAGAAGTTTTAATCAAATAAAAAATTGCAACTTTATTTGAAGCTTCCACAAAAAGATTAATCACTAAAGTAGAAGCAGAATCAGAATCAGTTTTCAGAAGTTGGTACCCCCAGCTTCTAAAAAACCCGATTCTAAGAGTAAATTAGAGCACCAGAAGTGCTTCTGGAATTTCACCCAAACACTTCAGCTTCTGATTCTGCTCCTTGAAGGAGCAGAATCAGTTTTGAGATCAGATCCAAACACCCCTTTAATCAAATACTAGATATAATTCTTAGAAAATCACTAAAAATCAACTAATTAACGGAGTGCAAAGTAACTAACGTAGATAGAGAAGAGATTCGATGAATTGGTGAAACCTTTATTACTACGTATATAGACAAGAGATTTGAAGCCAATTTTTTTTCCTTTGCCCCAAGAGTGGAATCTCCACGGTAGCCATCTAGGTCTCAATGGCAAACTAGGGTTCCATCTATTTATTGTAGCTCGGATAAACAGATGTAAAGTATTACCTCCGTCCCTAAATGTTTATCCTAGTTGGACTTCACAGATATTAAGAAAATGAATTTGACTTTACACTGTAGCGACACTGTTTGACACTGTAGTGACTGTTTTGCACTGTTTGATAAAGATTTGTTTGACAAATAAGGAAGCTAAAAAAGTAGGACAAACATTTTGGGACATCCATTTCGGGAAAGTAGGACAAACATTTAGGGACGGAGGGAGTAGTTTACTAGCCTCTGCACAGGTAAAATATTTTACATGGTACAGTGTAAAATGTGTTTAAAAAGTGCACTACAACTTACATTAAATAGTTAAAACAAACAATGTAAAATGTTTACTTCCTTAAACTTTGCACGCAAAGTGTGTACTTTACATCATAGCAAACGAGCCCAAAAGTTATATACTATCTCATAATACATTTGGGATGTTTGATTGATAGGCTACCAGTCAACTTTTGACTGTTTTGATCATGATTTGGCATTTTGACTCGATCCAACGGCTAATTAGGATGTTTGGTAAATGGTTTTTTTATTATCTCAAACATCCAAAATAGAAAAAGTTACAAAACCCTCCGTTAAGGTTTGGCCGTTCTGTTTCAATTATAAATTTATAATAATCCTAGGCTACCCATATCTCGTTTTCTCTTCCGCACAATCGTTCTCTGCCTTCTCTTCTTCATATTCGTAGAGGTTAAAGAAGCTCACCTGGTGAACAAAATTGGTCAGAAAAATTCCAAAAGAGTTCGAGCAGTCGATTTGTGAAGCCCTCAAGTCTGGTGAATGTGAATATTGTCCGATAATTAATTAATAGCTGAAATCTTGAGTGAGTTTGGAGAGTTGGAGGGACTTGAGCTTATACTCTCTTTGAATTATTTTTTCGGTCAAATTCTTTCAAACACTGGCTTGGTGTCGTGGGAAATAGAAAAAGAGGGGGAAAAGTGATGGGATTGGAAAATTCTTCTATTCAATATCAAGAACAGAATTACAATAGGAGGAGCAAACTCTCACACTCAACTATTACAAAAAACCAATCCTCACCAATACACTTCTACTCTAAGTGTATTTCACTCTTCACACACTTTTCTCACTTTCTAAACTGATGATATGAACAACAATAGAACACTCTATTTATAGGGCTGGTTTGGAGACATGAGGAAGTTGCATCCAAGCTTCCTAGTTATCTCCATATCTTCTCCCACACCTATTTGTTGGAGAGCTCCTTCCATGAAGGTGCCTCCATGTTAAGGTGTCTCTTGGCAACCTCCAAGAAAGAAGGTGGAAGATACCTACAAATCTCCCCCTCCACCTTTTTCTTTATTTCTCTCGTTCCTGCAATGCTCGCAGGCTCCCCCTCGCTAACAAGTATCCATTCGGATGTGGAATACTTTCTCTGTGGAACTATGCCTCGCATAGAACGTCGAACATGAATACCTTCAGCTTCGTCTTCAGATGAAGGCTCCCCCTGCTGAGGAATATCATCACTGTGAGTATCATCATCACCTACTGAACCATCACTCTCTTGTTCAGTAGTATCATGCATCTCCTCGTCGCTGAGAGGAATGTTTGATGATACATGCACTTCGTCTTCTGGAGTATGTTGTTGGCAACTTATTGGAACACACCCATGAAACTCGTTTTCATGAAATACAACATCTCTGCTTCGTACAACTTTCTTCACTTCGGGATCCCACAACCGGTATCCGAATTCTTCATCACCATACCCGATGAAGATGCATGGGTTTGACTTGAGATCCAGCTTCTGTCTCAACTCCTTGGACACATGTGCAAATGCCTTGCACCCGAACACTTTTAAGTGAGAGTAAGAAACATCTCTTCTTGACCATTTCTTCTCTGGCACTTCAAAGTTTAAAGGAACAGAAGGTGACCTGTTTATAAGATAACAAGCTGTCAGCAAAGCTTCACCCCAGAATGGCTTAGGTAGTTTAGCCATACTCAGCATGCAGCGAACTTTCTCCATAATGGTCCGATTCATTCTTTCGGCTACACCATTGTGCTGTGGAGTTCGTGGAACCGTCTTCTCATGTCTGATTCCATATGCTGCGCAATATGCTGAGAACTCCCGAGAAGTGTACTCTCCTCCATTGTCTGAACGCAGGCACTTCAGCTTCTTCCCTGTTTCTCTTTCTACCATCGCATGAAATAATTTGAAGCGATCAAACACTTGATCCTTACTCTTCAAACAATAAGCCCATACCTTTCGTGATGCATCATCAATGAATGTCACGAAATATCTGCTTCCTCCAAGTGACTCCTCTTCAATGGGTCCGCATACATCAGAGTGTACAAGACTGAGTAACTCTGAATGGTTCTTCCTGGTAGAACTGAAGGAAACCTTGTGTTGTTTCCCGAATAGACAGTGTTCGCATGGATCTAGGGCAACACCTTTGCCCATGGAAATGACTTCCTTCTTTGCAAGAGTTGTCAATCCCTTCACGCTCAAGTGGCCTAGCCTCCGGTGCCACAAGTTTGGTGATATCTCTTCTTCAACAGCATTAAGACTTGGATGACACAACTTTGCATGAGTTTTATAAAGAGTACCACAAATATGGCCTCTTGCAACAACCAAGGAACCTTTAGATAACTTCCACGTACCTTCTTTGAATCGGTTAAGATATCCTTGCTGATCCAGAGCTGTACCGGAGATAAGATTCAATCTAAGATCCGGAACATGTCGAACATCTTTCAACACAAGTGCGCATCCGACATTGGTTGTTATGTGCACATCACCAATGCCAACAATCTTCGAGAAACTGGTGTTTCCCATCTTCACAGCTCCAAAGTCCCCGGACTTATAAGATGTGAATAAATTCTGGTGTGGAGTGGCGTGAAATGATGCGGCTGTATCAATCACCCACTCAACATCATGAGTACCTACGTGTAAACATTCTTGTTCACCATGTGTAACAAGACACACGTCTGATGACAAACTAACCATGGTCTCACCATCATCTTGGCTAGTATTTTGACTCGTCTGTGGCTGCTCTCGTAGAAACTTTCTACAATCTCTTTTTCTGTGCCCATAATTACTACAGTAATTGCAATATCCTTCAAACCAAGTACTGTTTTCAAAGGACATACCTCTCTCTTGTGATCTGCCGCGAACTTGAGAATTTCCTCTGTTTTGACCTTGGCCTCTACCTCGACCTCGAGTTCTTCCTCCATTTCTGCCTCCCCCTCGTCTGCTGGTTTCTGACACGAAGGCATATGATTGTTCAGTCCCGGCTTCTTTTCTTCGGGCTTCTTCATTCATAAGGGCATCTGTGACCATCTGCATAGTCACTTTGCCATTGGGAGCAGAATTGCTGAGAGTGACAACAAGAGTCTCCCAGCTGTCAGGTAGAGAGCTCAAGAGTAGTATCGCCTGTTCTTCATCTTTGAGAACCCATCCGGTGGTGCTCAACTGATTCACAAGATCCTGGAATTGACTGGTGTGTTCTGACACCGAAATACCTCCTCGTAATTTGTGGTTTACTAATCGCCTCATTAGTAAAGTCTTATTTCGTGCGGTTTTTGCTTGATACATGCTACCAAGCTTCTCCCATAGTGTGTAAGCACTTTGTTCTTGCGCAACATGGTGGAACACACTATGATCAATCCACTGTCGAATTTGTGCGACAGTTTTTCTATTCATTTTTGTCCATTCTTCATCCGTCTTTTTATCCGGTTTCACGCCATTATTATCAAGAGGATCAGCTAAATCCCTCAAATTTAGCAAATCTTCCATCCGAGGCTTCCACATATTGTAATTTGTGGAAGTGAGCGCAATCATGGTGTCCGATGATGATTTATCCATAATAAAACGCTCAAAATATCTCGTACCTTATTTTCGGAGCCGAATTTGGACAAACGGAGCTCACCGTTGGATCCGGAATGGCCGAAAATGGTAGGAACCGGTCTGACCTTGTCCAAAACCGGTCCGAAAATGGGTGAACCGGCCTCCACAAGTACGAACCGGTTCGGTCCGGTTCAGGCAGCAGCCCAGTGAGCAGACCAGCAGGCGGATGACGTGGCAACAGCTGGCTCTGCGCTGGCGCTGACGTGGCGCCACGTGTCGCTGACGTGGCGCTGACGTGGCGCTGACGTGGCACCTAGAGATGGCTTGCACGGATGATGTGGCGGATGACGTGGCGCTTACTTGGGCTGACGTGGCGCTGCCGTGGCGGCTGACGTGGCTCGTCTTCTTCCTCTGGACTGCGTGATGACGCAATGATGACGCAGGCAGTTTTCCGGCGCGTTTGGGCGGCGCGTACGGCCTCTTCCGGTGGCCAAAAAATTCCCAAAAAATACCAGATTTCTCGTCTCGACGAGACGAATCTAATGGTATGATCAGATCGTGATTCCGAGCAACTTGAAAAATCACGATTTTCTAACCTGTAGAAATTTATCTGAAAATGAGAAAACAGTGTATGAAAACTCAACCTCGCTCTGATACCACTTGATGGGATTGGAAAATTCTTCTATTCAATATCAAGAACAGAATTACAATAGGAGGAGCAAACTCTCACACTCAACTATTACAAAAAACCAATCCTCACCAATACACTTCTACTCTAAGTGTATTTCACTCTTCACACACTTTTCTCACTTTCTAAACTGATGATATGAACAACAATAGAACACTCTATTTATAGGGCTGGTTTGGAGACATGAGGAAGTTGCATCCAAGCTTCCTAGTTATCTCCATATCTTCTCCCACACCTATTTGTTGGAGAGCTCCTTCCATGAAGGTGCCTCCATGTTAAGGTGTCTCTTGGCAACCTCCAAGAAAGAAGGTGGAAGATACCTACAAAAAGGTGCAAATAAGCCCCCGAACTAACCGAAAAAGTGCAAATAAGCCCTTTTATAGGAAGCTCTGTCCGGTCGTCGCCATTTGGGGCGGTTCCAGTTTGAACTTTTAGCTGAAATTTGGTATGGGTAAACTAGACTTAATGAAGAAGATGCTAAAAAAAAATCATCAAAATATTCAACTGGGAACCGCCTCAAATGGCGACGGCCGGACAAAGCATCCTATAAAAGGGCTTATTTGCACTTTTTCGGTAAGTTCGGGGGCTTATTTGCCCCTTTTCCCAAACAGAGGGAAAGAAGCTAGAGGGAAAACGATGGGTGGAGTTGGGCTTAGGAACCAGAGAATAAGAGAATGAAGTCAAGTTGCTGATAACTAAAATGAAAATGAAGTTCACTAGAGTTAGTTCACGATGGCTGTAGTAATTTTTTTATTTTTTCCATCTAGTACAAGTTTTTATTTTAGTTGCGGTAGGTTTGGTTTGGGAATTTGGAATTCTGACATATGTATGATAGACAATCTTTCAGTCACGATTGTTTTAGGCTTTGAATTGCTTTTTTCATGTCTAGCGAATTAGGTTGCTTTGTATGATGTGGTCGATTTTATGTCTATTCCTAGAGCTCACAATCGGATCTGTAGTAGTTGTCTAAATGTTATCTTGTATATTTCTCGGTTTTAATATAAAAGCCGATCCCTTTTATTAAAAAAAGAAGTTGTACAAAAATAAAGACAACCTTTAGGGTACGTTTCGTTCGAGGTGATCATCTATGCAGGTCGGAATCTGATGTCCGGAACTTGCATTCGGTTCACATGGCCGTCTTTTAGGAGGTGCAATAGGTGTTTGGCACCGGAGCCCACTCTTATATGGAGCCTGCAAAAATTTAGTACGTAGTAGTAGTTATAGGTTTTTTTAATGTTATGTACTATTCCAGATTTTAAGAGGTCTAACTTTTAGATTGTCTAATTTGTATACTTTAAAAAATTTATTTGTTCTATTGTATCATTTCATGTTTTAGGGGCCTTGATACGCGTGTAATTTATGTGTGTATGTTTACGTTTTTAGTTAGTTTTGGTTGTTTAAATATTTTGGAAATTACACACTTTCGGTGTAATAGTTTAGTTTGTTAAATTCTTGTAAATTGTTTAGATTAGGTTTATTCTGAGCTCAAACATGTCTACTATCACTAAAAGGACAGTTGGTGAACCCCAAAAGTGGAAGGAAGGTGCAAAATCACAAGACAAAAAGGGAAGATCCTGATTTTGGTCTATACTCGGTCGAGTATTACCTATACTCGATCGGGTATCTTGTTGAAATTTCAAATCGGATCGGATCCGAAAACAAAGGAACATGCAGGGAAGATTTTACCACGATCGAGTGTCTATACCCGATCGGGTACACCGACATACTCGATCGGGTATAGCTATAAATTTTACTCGAATATCGATCGAGTATGGATCGAATTCGAGTTTCTGCACATACTCGATCGAGTATATGTATATACTCGATCGAGTACCCGACCTGCACCCCAAAAAAGCCTATAAATACACATCCTTTCCTTCACTTTTAGATACTAATTCTTTTATACTCTTAAGCTCAGTTTAGAATAGCATTTCTTTATATTTCTATTAGCATGTTTAGTCTCCAAATGAGGAGCTAAACTTCCATTTCTTGGTGTTGCTTTGAAGCTTGTTGATTATTAAAGTTGTGAGTTATTTTCTAAACTTCTTTCCTTGAATATTAATCCTTCCTTTAAATACTATTTCTATATCAATGTTGAGGAGTGTTACTAAGATGACAATTAGTTAACATCTTGACATTGATCTTTGTAATAGCTATGCCTTCCTCTATGTTAATATTGGGGAGTGTTACTAAGATGACAATTAGTCAACATCTTGATATTAACCATAGTAGGATTCATCTTCTTTAATATTCTTCCTTGAGTATTAGAGCCCGTTTGGAGAACTCTGTTTTCGGCTTATCAGCCAACTTTTTCACCAAACACGTAACTTTTACTTTCGCGCGCTGAATTGTGTAATAAGCCGAAAAAGTAAGGTTGGAGTTACTTTTCTGGCTGTATTGGCTGAAGTTACTGTAGAGGACCATTTTAGCTATTTTTACATATAATTTTTTCTTTAATTTATTAATAAAATATATTTTTAAAATATTTTTTTCTTAAATCAGCAGAATCAGCCAAAACAGCCACTCCAGCGAGAATATCATAAATTTCAGCAGAATCAGCCAAAACAGCCGATTTTGGTGCTACCAAACGGGCTCTTAATTAATCCCTATTCATATATCATATTAATATTTTGAACATTACTTAAAGGATCAACTAGTTTTGTTTCATATATTAATTATTACTAGAAACGGTCAACGAACCGATGGTTAATCGTTGATGGTTTCACAAGTAAGTAACTTTGGTTTATTAATGCACGGTCGTGGTTAATAAACTTAAGAGGGATTAATTTTGTTGGTTAAACCGAAACCGTTGTGTTGAGGTTATCAATCTCAATTGATTTCATCAAGGAGTTAAGAGATTAAATGCTACTATCAAGTCGGTATACGGCGTTATTCTATACTTGACTAATCGTAAGGGTTATTAATGAACGGTCGTTGTTAATAACTATCCTCGATGAATTGGATATACTCCTCGATTGAGTATTCGAGAGGAGATAAGTTATAGATATAACGATGATCGACTAAAATATATCAACAAGTGGAAAATAGCAATGCCAAGTTCCTTTTATTTTTGAATTTAATCCCACATAAGTCGTTCATCTTCATGTTTAAGTTATTAAACCAAATCAATCAAAACCCCCCTTTTATTTACAAGTTACATAAAAAGATAAATTATTCCTTTCCCTGTGGATACGAACTCTACTCCACCTAGACTATGTATAAGTGTTAGTATCGATTTATTTTGACGCACCGTGACAAAGTGCTCGTCAGGCCTCAATTCATCATTTGGAACCGGGGCCTCTAAATTCATTAGACGACCCCATTGGTTCACAGGTTTGAAAATTTGTCGGGAATGTTACATGCCCAAATAGAGAATAAGGTTATGAGATGACCCGTAAAGTCAAACCCACTCTCCTCCTAGGTTATCTCACCTTCCTTGAACCATATTAGCTCTCTTCTTGATCACTTCTACTCAATGCTTCTTTTCATTCCAAAAGAGTCTTTTGAATCAAGTAAAATCTTTATCCTTTTTCCAACTTTCTGTACTTGTTCTTGTAGTTTATCTTTAATGCCCTGTTAATTATTTTTACTTGAACCAAATTATTTACTAGTGTTCCCTAAACGTTTTCATTTTTGCAATTAAATATATTTTTCTTAAAAATAAATCAATTAGTTTTTATTGATATTATTATTAAGATATATTTCACTTTTTCCTTAATTTTAATTGCTTTAATCATAGGTTGTAATAAGTTTATTATGTTAAAAGAAACTATTTGAAGGACATCGAAGTCATTCACCAAATATGTAATGTAAGATACCGATCAACAAAATAAATTAATGTCACATTCTCTTAGTCTCAACCGAGCACAAAATGACACAAATTTAGTGCATTCTCATAAATGTAACATACTCAGTAATTTAACATTCTCATGGTAATCTAACATTGCTTGAACCAAATGGACCCTAAGGTGATCTTTCCTTTTTAATTAATTAATTAATTAATTCTTGATCATCGTATTTGTATTTCCTATATGCAAATCTTAACGGTGAAGTTTTTAAGCATTTGAAGAGAATATTATCAATTATACCGTACTTCAGTAAAGGCAATGACTGAAACTCTGAAAGTGATTTCACTATCATAATATGCCAATAAAATGCGCATAGGATACAGTTGTCTACTTTGCGCCAAGAATTTCTGAAGAGTGGCCGCCAAGGAACTGTCTCCCTTTAATACAAAACCTCTCACAAATCACTAATCCCTCCATCTTCTGCGATCATTTCCGATCGAGCAGAACCCCTACCGAAAAAACCTCAAAATGGGTGTTATTCTCGGCCCACCGGAGGTTTACAAACCGCCGGCAACCGCCGCCGGCTCCGAATCATCGGGCTCAGATTCCGACTCTTTCATGGATGGCATGGAGAAGGATTTCAACCATTCCGACAGAGACTCCGATTCACCTCCGATGGGGCTGACCCAGAACAACTCCCTCACCTATCTCTCCACCAAAAACCCATGTCTGGACTTCTTCTATCAGATCGTCCCCGGCACCCCCCGTCTCACCATTCACGAGAGTCTCCGGCGGTCGTGGGATCACAACCCCCTGACCACTCTCAAGCTCATCTGCAATCTCCGTGGACTCCGCGGCACCGGGAAATCGGACAGGGAAGGGTACTACGCATCGGCTTTGTGGCTTCATGGACTCCACCCCAAAACCCTAGCCTGCAATTTGAGGGAAATGGCGAAATTCGGCTACTTCAAAGACTTTCCGGAGCTTCTCTACCGGCTTATGGAAGGGGAAGAGGTTAGGAAAATTAGAAAAATCCGGCATGAGCGCAATAAGAGTAGAATGAAACGTAAGAGACGCAGATACGTTGCTCCTGATGAGAAGAAGAAGCAGCCATTGACAGAGGCTCAAAGGGAAGCTCGGATTTTGGCTAATCAGGCGAAACACATGGCTGAGAAGGCGGCAGCAAGTCGAGCAAGGGAATCTGCTAAAGCCGAGAAGGCGAAAAAGGCCATCCTCAGATACAAACATGACCCAGATTACAGATACTTACACGACTCCATCTCTGATCTCTTCGCTGAGTTTCTGAAGAAGGATTTGGAATCATTGAATCAAACTGGATCTCCGGTGATCAGCCTGGCTGCAAAGTGGTGCCCATCACTCAACTCACCGTTCGAACGTTCCACACTCTTGTGCGAAAGCATTGCCCGAAAGATCTTCCCGAAAGAACAACACCCCGAATATCAAACACTTGAAGAATCACAGTACGCCTACCGTGTTCGGGATCGTTTGAGGAAGGAAGTCCTCGTCCCTCTCCGAAAG